GAGGGTTGCGATCCCGTTACCGGTCAGTAAAAAAGACAAAAAGGAAAAAAAAAAACAAAACCAAAATAGCCTGTTAATTTTCACCACTTCCTCCTACTTATTACTGTCCACAGCCTGGGTGAAATACTTTTCATAAATGCAATGCCATCCTCCCTGCGGAACACAGAACTGCAGACACTCTGCCAGGGAGAAGAAGCTTTGCCTGCTAGTCCTGCTATTTCTTTTAGTGGACTGGAGCTCTCATTCTTTTTAGCACATTTCAGGTGTTTCTGAAAGTTAAGTTGCCTTTGATTTATTGAGAGGAAGTACACAATTGCTATAAAAGTCTTGTTTTGTTTTTTTCCCTAAGATTTTGAGTGAAAACTTACTGGCAAAGAAGTCTGTCCTTCTCCATTCCAAGCTCTATTCTTTTTTGCATAAGGTGAAATGTGGGCCATCTCTGCTCTTACCACCTCCCTCCAACCCTACCCTTGCCTGCAAATCTATGCACACTGGCCTCTAAAACAGAAATGGAAAGCACAGACTCACAATGATCAGTGGAATTGGGAGCCAAGTTTGAGGTTTCCTTGTGAAAGCAATGTGTAGCAGGGCCCTATATAAGACTTTCTTTCTTAGGAAAGCACAGACTCACAATGATCAATGGAATTGGGGGCTAAGTTTGAGGTTTCCTTGTGAAAGCAATGTGTAGCAGGGCCCTATATAAGACTTTCTTTCTTACCAATTGTACGGAAACTTTGTTCAGGGAGGTAATTTGTAGTTTGGGGTGGCCGTGTGACCCGCTATTGGCAAATGAAATGCTGAAAGCAGTTCATTCCTGAAGATAACAAAACATCTCTCAAAGAGAACCATTAGTCCTTGGCTAGGCCTTGTGTATTTTGTTTAATTAAACTGACCGTATCTAATTTTGTGTTAGCCAATTGCGTATCTGTTTGCATTTTCCAAAACTATTTTTGTTTAAAATAGATCTCTAAATGTACTTATATAATTACAAATCCAATATAAACATTATCACATAGAGGAAGAAAGTAGTTATAAAACTGTAAGCCACACCTTGCTGTTAATGATCATAGAATATTCCTCATGTTTACAGCACAGAGACTACACAGCATGTCACAACTGCAAAGGTTTTTCAAAACTGCATCCCAGTACTTGGAATACAAATTATATTTGGTTGGGTAAAAAGGTCAGAGTACTTACCACTATTTTTTAAATACCTGTTCTCATCACGAAAGGAAATATTTTGCCATATTTATGCATATTTTTTAAACATCCACCAAATACTCAGAAAAGTGAATACTTTAGACTGTAAATACTAAAGTAAACTGTTATTTTAAAATATTTTATTTGAATTTATGATTTTATATCTTCCTTTATCTCAGCAGAAATAACTGTTTATATTATTTTGAGTTCCCATAAAACTAAATTATTATGACTCTCGAGTCTTTTAAGTTTTACAATCATTTATTTGGTTCCAATATTTTACAGTTATCAATACGAGTGACTGAATATTTTTGTGCATAGAAATTTAACACATTTATAACTACTTTCTTCTCAGAATAAATTGTTTTAAAGTTTTTAGTATAAAGTAGAAATACAAATATTAATAACAAATTAGTCTCTAAAGGGAGGCTATGGACTAACCCTGGCCCAGCAGTGATTTAGAGTGCTTGTTTCATCACATTTTTACTTGTACTGATTCTTAGTAAGAAAATACAACTGCTAGTTGGCTAGATTAAAGTGACATTTAAAGTTCTTTGTTTAATTTGTATGTTTACTTTGACTAGACAGAGTATGTTTCCATATGTGTTAGCCAACTGTCATCTTCTTTTGTGAACTACTGTTTTTTTATTTATCTGTTGTTTAGTTCCTAATTATTTGTCTACTTGCTTTAATTATGTATATGTGATATATTTATATATTGTTAAGGTCAAATTAAGAAGAACTTTTGAAGACTATCTGTTCATATTTCTCTTTTCCTCAAAAAATTTTCTCTCCAAATCATGAGTCTGATGAATAAGCAATTATATCCCAAACATTTTAAACTGCTTAATGCTTTTGAAATTTATTTGGGCATTTGCTGTAAGTTTGAGCTGTACATTGATCTTCTCCCAAATCATTACCCAATTGACTTAACACCATTTGTGCATAATTCT